CGGGACGGGCCAGAGAAGGAATGACTGTGGCGGAATGTATCGCTGCTGTTTGCTTTTCTGTGGACACATTATGAGACTGGGGTTTTGAGAAGAATGGGGGCAGGGAAAGGGGGGACGCGGCCTCTGAATCTGCCAAGAAGGTGAAATCGGATCAGAAACGAGGCAAATGCGAAGGAGACGCGAGGGGGAAAATGTAGGCTGACTGAGACCTTTTGCGGTACAGTAGGCAGTAGTGGCGTCTCCGGCGGCGCGAGCAAATGGTTGGTTTTCTTCGCGGACCACCGAGACGGTTGCTGCACCCCGGATCGCGGCCGGCGGCTCTCCTCTCCACGCACCCGTGCACGGCCTCGCGGGCTTTATGCGGACGTCTTGGCCTCCCTCGTGGCAACGTGACGACGGGAAGACGACAGAGTGAGGTGTCGCTGGGGGAGGGGGGCGGGGGGGGTCAAGGTCGGATAGCCTTGGGGCAGTTTGACACTTGTCGAGTTCCACGGAATGACGACAATCAGATCATGCGTTCCGATATCAACTTGGGACGGATCTGACATGGCCTGCGCCGCGGTGACAAAAACAAAATCAAGGGCCACAGAAGTCGGATGGCAACGTTTCGGCCACACACACGCACACACACACACACACACACACCCGACACAATTCGGATGCCTCCCTTGAAGCAGCCGGGCGAGCAAGCAAGGCAGCACAAGCAAAGGGCGAAACGCCGCCGAGTCCGTGCAGCAGCAGCAGCAGCAGCAGCACCGGCGGCAGTAGTCAGAAGTGCAGAGTCGTCTGCCGAGAGCGCGCATCCTGTTGTCTCACGCGCCGGCCGTCCCGGATCTGCGTGTCTCATGGCGGGTGCCGCCAAAAGCAAAGAGAGGTGGCATCTGCGTGCGCGTCTATTGCTCCCACAGCCTGCTTCACGTCTCACATCTCACAGGCACTGCTGTACCATGGTGAGCTCAGCCGTCTCGGGGCACGTCTCACTGGAAGGAACCAGGATCAGGGCGCAGGCGCTGTATTTCGGCGTCCTTGGGGCGCCGGAGGGGCTGGTTGGGGCGGCTCGGGGGCCAATGGGTAGTGGCTCCGGCAGTTGGCGGTCAGCACTTGTGCGGCCCACGTGTGCTGGGGGCGAAGATAGCACAGCGGCTAGTGTTCTGGCATTTTCACGACGAAGGATCAGGCTGAACATGGCTTTGTAAAGAAAAGAAAGGAAATGTGAGGAAATGTGTGTGTCTCCCTGCCTTAGGGCTTTGCTCCTTGGTTGGGTCGACAGAAAGTGGTGAGCCGTGATGCTGCATATACTGGTGAGCCGTGATGCTGCATATACCCAATCGTGCCCTCCCTTAGGTGCACCCCCTTCGCGATGATGACCTGCATGGAAAAGGCACGTTGGGTTTCCCTGCGTTGGCAAGATGTCGAGGAAGCTGGCTGGGGTTCTTCAAACCCCTTCCAACAAAAAGAGCAGGCTGAGCTGCAGCGTCAGAACGATGAGCTACGATAGTCACCATGTACATGTATTCTCGTCGACGACGCTGCTGTCGCTCTGAGAGTTCAGGCCAGTCGTCCTGCCACCACCCATCACCCCTCTCGACCGGGCCTCAGGGAGCTCCAGTGAGTCCAGCCGAAAGTCAAAAGGACCTAGGACGACGGCTCCCCCGCCGGGAGGCCTGCATACCCTTCCGGACCCGCCTGCCTCCAAGCTTCCGCGTCCTCCCCCCTGCTGCTGGAAAGTCACTACATCGTACTGCACAGTAAGTCAGGCCACCAGAATGCACACAGTAACCCTCTCGCCCGCGGCTATGAGGCGATCACTACTGTAGCCTGCGGGACCCTTGCCTGACCTGCCCGTCCTGCTGCACACGCCCCCCCCACCCCTCTCCTCCCGCTCCGCCCGCAAAAGCCGCGGGCCGCAGGATTGCCCCTCTTCTGCTTCTTGCTTCCCCTTCCATGTCATGGAACTGTCCATCAACTTGCCCCGCTCTCATGAGCTGGAGGGGCACGAACGAACCGACGTGTCGTGTCGTGTCGTTTGTTGCGTTGTTCTGCTGGCCCATGTTGTCTCGTGTTGAGAGGTTGAGAGGGGTCGCTGAGGGGTAAGAATCCGCATCCAGGAGGGGGGCCAAGCCCACCTCTCGCCCTCTCTGCCCTGATTTTCCGCCGTTGTTTCTCGAGGCAGCCCCCCCCAGCTACGCCAGTTACATCATTTCCAACTACAACTTCTCAAGAGTCATGGCCATTGTGACACGCGCCCGAGAGAGCGCAGAAGGGTTGCCGTGCGGCACGGGCTCGAGGCACATTACGCGCCGGCGCAACCCACCCCTCTCCAGCCTCTCCAGGGTAAGGAAGAAGAAAAGGGCCCAAAAAGGGAATACTTCTCTTGCGCACGCACACACACACACACACACACACACTCAGTCACTATCACGCTGGCAGCCCTCGAATGAGCGAATATCGGCGACGCGCCTGTCTGCCTGCTTATCCCCACCCACCCACAGACAGACAGACAGACAGACAGACAGACAGACAGGCGCCCACATGCGCACCTTGCCATTTTCCTGGAACGCGCTGCTCGATTCTGTGCCGTCCTGTGCGTTTGTGAAAAGGAAGACACGGAGACAGTTGGGCGAGACGAAGCAGCAGCAGCACCAAGAGAGCGGGCGGGCCATGCGGCCTGCTCGTTGCGGGCCACGCACCAACGTCATCCGGGTCTAGGGGCCTGCTGGCCAATGCGGCCGACACTGGGACCCCGGCAAGAGGGTTTATGCACACCCCCCTCTTCTCACCCTGACACGCTCCTATCCTCAAGTTGGCCGTTGGTGTGTGATGCGGCGCTCGACGTGCGAGTCGGTGTGCTTGCATCGAGCATCGTCCGCATGGGGAGCAGAGTTTTGTGCGGGCGGTGTATCGCGTGCGAAATGGCCCAGCTGTAGTGTCACGGTTGCGAGCTTTGTCGTGGGTGGTATCGTAGACTTTGCGCACGGCTGGACGTGAACCTAGACTTGGCCGACGTGATCTGCTGATGGCCTCATGGTGCGCTTGAATAGTGGCCTGACGGCGAGCGCATGCCTGCTGTGACGGCGTTGCGGGACATAAGGTTAGCCGTCCGTGAGGGCCACGGCGTATGATCTACTGATGCTGGCAATGGAACGAGGTTCGTCATGATGGACGACTTACGCACTCCAGGCTCATGCTGCGAGGAAGTTTCAAGTGACTCGGGCTCTGCGAATCTCTCGTGTTCGTATTACTGATCTTGGCTGCTAGTCATATGTCACTTGATGCCGAAGCCAGTTTGATTCGTGCTGCGCGCCGTTTCCAGCTTCCTGGCGATGCGCGCAAAAGGCTTGCATATTCGGTACATGTTCATGACCACAACTCGTAGGTCAACTTGCTATGGAGACCAAAGAGCTCTGGCAAAGTCACTGAGGACATCATGAATTAGCTCGAGTGCTCTTGGAGATAAGCAGAAACAGTCTGTCACTAAGACATATCAGTCAAGCTTGATGACCAAAATAATACAGCTCACGTACATTGAAAACGAGTTTTTATTCTTGAGACTGGACTGAACACACTGCAACTGCGAAAGCCGCGTCTGAAGTTTTTGAAATAAATGCATGTATTGAGTACCTTTGTTGCTCTCAAGCGCCACGCCGCAGCTTTTATCCGTCTGATGAGGAACAGGTTCGGTTAGATATTCAACGCCTTAAGTCAGATGTTGCGAGTAACGAGCAAAGACTACCTGTGTGGATTTTGAAACCATTGAATGAGATCTGTGTCCTCTCAGGTCTCGTATGTCAGGTAAAAGTCATGATTATCGATATGAAGACGGTGAATTTGAAGAGGTTATGTTTCAAAAGCTATACAAAACGGAGTGCGTTGGTGGCGAGATTTATATTTGCAGTTCTGTTGTATATAGCTGGTGACCAATTCCATGAGACAGTCCAAGAGATCCGATAATTGGAAGATGGGATAGGAGAAGGGATACGAGGAGAAAGAGACGTATTTCCTCGTGTCTCTGTAGCTGTTCTATGCCATTCTTGGAGTCGATAGAAGTCTTAGTCAATACTTCTCAAACCCTCTTGAAGGAATCAGAAGTGATAGTTCATAGCGAGAGGCAAGGCTCTACAATGCGCCATACAGCTTGTAAGATAATCTGAAGTCCAGGCTCATACGTATCACTTACCTTATATCATGCCGATACATGAATATCCCTACCCTGATTGTAGAAGCATTGGACCACCTAGTGATCTGATACACGACGCTCCGGTTAGCATATGTCCTCGCTAATGTCCCAAGGTCGTGATATCGAGTTGATGTATCAGTATCTTCTGAAACTTCATATTGCGCGCCTTTCATCTAGGCCGGTTGATCTATTGTGTTGAGTTCTATCTTGACCTACTTCTGCTGCCGCGGGCATACGCCCACAGTCACGGGCAGAATGATCTTACTCCAAGTAATTTCAAGTAAGTGACCTAGCAAACACGAAATCAGAGCTCGAAGTCTCAGTCATATAATCTCCTGCCCGGTGCTTTGCCTTACGCCATGCCTGTAATACAACGCCCCCGCCCCCCCGTGCAACGGGCCCTTTTCAGTCTCACCAAGGCCACCCTCAGCCACGTCGAACTAATGGTCTGATCCGTGTCACGCTGCTCATCCTCAGCTCCTAGACTTGTCCTCCCTTGGCAACCATGTGCTCCCCAGCACCAGCCGACGACGTGAACACAGCCTGTCAGCCGCGTGGTCACACCATGCTCTGCTGCGCCGCATGCATGCATGAACTGGTAGCCCGCGGGGTCGCGGCCGTGAGGACCGTGATACGTCGGGCTACTAGCAAAACTCGTGCGACGACACAGTGCGGCGAACTCCAAGACTGTTACGAAGGATATATTGCCCCCTTGCAGAACGCCCTTCACGTTTGGAGGCAAACCAGACCCGTACCCGCACGTTCTACAATCAAGGGTCCTCCCCCCGCGGTTCAAGGCGACCACTCGGCCGACCACAACATGCTACTTCCACGTGCTCGACGTTGCGGCTCCAGACTTCTTGCCCTCTTGATATGTCTTGCTGAGCCCGTCGTAGAGGGCCTTGACGCGCTCGACCTCGGCCGCCCAGTGCTCCCGCTCAGCAGCGTCTTCCAGGTCCTCCACCAAATCCCCTAGGCTCCGCGCCTCAAAGAACTTGTTGCTCCTATTGTACAGCGCGCGCCGGGACAGCGCCGCGTCCGTCTCGCCCTCGGCCTTGACGCGGAACACCTCTTCCAGGATCTCGAGGTCGTAGGGTATGGCGAAGCGGTCCCGGCTGTCCTCGTACGTGAAGAGGAAGTAGAGCTCCTTGAAGCCGGACCAGGTGATGCCGCTGAGGCAGAGGCTGCAGGGCTCGTGGGTGGCGAAGAAGACGCAGTCGTCGCCAGGGCTCGGCCGCGAGGCGGGGTCCGGGTGGGAGACGGTGTAGAACTTTTGGATGCAGTTAATTTCGCCGTGGAGGAGGGGCGAGGTGCGCTCGTCGTTGGTGGCGACGGTGTAGGGTGCCAGGGAGGCGGCGGAGAGGATCGCGGCGCCGAAGACTTTGCTGCCCGACGTGACGCCCTCGCGCGTCAGGGGGATGATGTCGGCCTCGGTCGTCTTGAGAAGGGCTGCCAGCAGCTCTTTGGATGTGTGGGACGGCATGATGGCGAAAGAGTTAGCAGATGATCGCAGTGTCTGTGCTGCGAGGTCAAAGTCAGTGGTCAGTCGAGCTCTGCCTGAGCCATGGCGATGGATATATTCTGCTGGCGGCGTCGACAGCTGAGTCTGACGGCGTCCTTATCGGGGCTGCCCGCGGGGTCATCACTGGTCGCTGGCCGCTGATAACGGCGACCTCCGACTTTTGATGGCGCTTTTTCGATGCGCTTGCATGCGATATCGCTCATGTTCGTGGGGTGCATTGCGATCGCGGATGCTGTGATTGCTCTTGTGGTGGTAGCTGCATGTCTTTGATGTTGAAGCGAAAAGGAATGGCGATTGAGTCGTCTCGTGGTCCGTCCTGGAGTACAGGGGGTCCTTGCCCTGCGGAAAATGGGGTGACTAATCCTACAGTGTCATCCATTTCCACGATATCTCAACATCTGAGAAGCTTCTACCCATAGACTAAGGACATGGTCGACGAGATGGCCGCGCTCACGTATTCAGTTGCATGACGCCATCAGATGAAACGCATCTGCTCGTGAGGGATCTCCAGATTTGTATCCCCGCCTCCGCTACGCGATGCATTACATCCGCCTCTTGCGGCCGCCGGCCCTCTCCACCGACCAACGTGGGGCATCATCAGTCCATGTCGTCCTGACCATCACCACGGACCTCGGAGACTCCTTTCTCAGCCCTGAAGCCCCCATCAAGTTGAAAGTAGGCGCCTATGCAGCTTCAGTTGACGCCAAAGGTGGCAAGCCCCAGCCGTCGGACATCAAGACCTCTCAGATTCTTGAATGGCGACCACGAACAAGGGTCATCAAGACAGACCTGCCTCTGGGCATCTGCTCCAGCACCGACCTTCGTGTTTTTGTCTTCCCCACTGCACAGGCTTGGGCAGGCAGTACCAGGGATGTCGTGTCATCCCTTCGATCCGATGGCTGCGGTCGCATCATGCCCGTCTGGGCGGACGTTCACTATCCTGACGTGGAAGCGCCTCATGTCTCGTTCCGAAGACTACGCATCGGCAGCGAAGAGGCGCCGTCCTTTGTTCAGGTCGAAGAAGACATTGGGGAGAGCATCGCGCGCCATATCTGGGACGCCGGCGTTGTTGCGACGTCGCTCCTCCTGGAGAATAGGACGTCTTCTGCGAACAGCGGAACCCTTCCGAAATTGACGCAGGTGCTGGCCTCTGATGGCCCTCTTCATATTATGGAGTTGGGTTGCGGTGTGGGCATTCTGGGTCTAGGCATCGCTGCTCTACTTTCCGGTCCACAAAGGCAGTCATCGCAGCTGCTGCTGACAGATCTCCCCGAGGCTGAGGACAGGACGCAAGCCAACATTGATTGTCTCGCATCAACGTTGCCCAGCGAGGCCCAGCAAATACCCTCATTTGAGAGTCTCGACTGGGAGGATGGGCGAAAGGGCAAGTTTGGCCCACGCGTGCAAGAGAATTTCTGGCATCTCATTGTTTTGAGTGACTGCACATACAACGTCGACATGCTACCGGCGTTGGTTGGCACCCTGACGGCGTTGCACGGTGCCAATCAGAACCATGTGCCCGCGGGGGAAATCGCGACGACGCGTGTTCTGCTTGCAACGAAACCTCGGCACGAATCAGAGAAGGCATTATTTGACCTCATGTCAAAGGGGGGATGGTTTGTGGCCGAGCAGGACGTCCTGCCTCTTCCTGTTATGGGCCAAGAGCCGGAGTCCGTGGAGATTTATATTTTCGAACAGTAAACGAGGCCAGGTTGGTCTGCCGATTGTATACCGCGTCAAGCCTGTGACCTTTCATTCACCCGATGACAAGGCCATATTGTGCTCCTTTCAGGGGCGTTGCGCTGACAGCATTGCCCTTGGCAGACAACCACTAAGACGCTCGGAGGAGCATCAAGGAAGAGTTTTGCACAGGGAAACATTTGGAATTCGGAGTTGATACCATATCATTAAAACGTATCGACGAACGAAGACCAACGATGCACAAAAGTAACCGCGTCTGGCACGGTATTATCACATGTGTGCCTTTTTTTCTTCTGTATGATCATGGACTCTTGTGCTGTCCTCAGTCATGGTCAATGGACCTTCAGGCGCTGGCTGTCAGTTGACATCAACCACAATCTGTTGATTGCAGATCTTCAATACCTACCTTGCATAGCCAAGAGGTATGCGGTATACTGTACATAAAACTGAGGATCCACAGCTGTTAAACCTTTTCAGAAGAAAGAAGACATTTTGAAACGAAACCCCTTCGATCAGCATCGAAGATCAAGTAGAGTGTCGCCATGGTCTCGTTTTAGTTCTTACGGCACGAGATCGTTTAGTGGTGGAATAATAATGACTGTTACCGGTTGCGACTGTCATCAATTGGTGAGGTGGCCGAGTTGGTTATGGCGCCAGGTTAAGGTCTACCTTAACTAGATTTCCTGGTGGGGCAACCCGCGCGAGTTCGAGTCTCGTCCTCATCAACATGATATTTTTGCCATTGTAGTCGAGTTATCTTTCACTTTGAAAGTAGCCGCGTTAAGAACAGTATTCTTCTACATCAAGTGGCATGAGCAATAACCGTTTCTGAACGACGCGCTGTGTTTTGCTGTCGTGGGAGCTCTTGATACCAGATCTCAAATCCCATTCCACAGCCGTCCTACAACCACACGACCTCGGGTATTGAAACTTGGTCGATTGAAACAGTGCGTCAATGAATGACCACCAGGGTGGTTGCAGATCATACTCACCTTCCGAAGGTTCCACATTGGAGAAGTTTCGACGTCGGCCGGAGAGGAGACACTTGCCTCTCATCCCAGTAGCAAAGGTCCATCATGACGGAGATATCGGATCATGGCCCTGGACCCTGATTCGTGACTCTTACATTCCCCTCTTTCGGAAGCGAGACGGAGAGCAGAGGGGACCTGCGGGTCTGTCGCCATACATCGGCAAGGCTGTGCACAATAGCTACCATTCTATCAGTTTCTGGGGTGACACAGCAGACTGGTCCATCATGCGTGTCGTCGGCTGAGAGGACACAGGTCTGTCCTAGCCCTCGATCGTTTGCTAGAAATTGGGCGGCAGTGTTGAATTGCCCCCCTTCATCACTCAACTCTTATCCCGCTGCACTTGGCTTTCAGAGTTTCTCACATCACCTATTTCACCATGACAGACAGTGGTACAACGCTTCCACTGCTTGGCAAGACGGCCCTGATCACAGGGTCGGCCCGCGGCATCGGTGCTGCTGTTGCCTGGAAGCTCGCGAGTGAGGGAGCAGATGTAAGTTAGACATTCATACTAAATGAAACCCCTCTAATAGCTCTCACCAGATCATCATCCATCACCTAACAGAATCGAGCAGCGATCGCGCAGCCAACCTCGCTACGCGCATCTGCAATCTTCCTCACAAACCCGCGGTATTCACTTTCCGCGCTGACATCTCATCGCCCACTGGCCCGAGCGGGATCGTTGCCGCCCTGGAAGAGTGGCGTGCCCCGTCTCCTCTTATCATAGACATACTCGTAAACAACGCCGGCATCGCGCCCCCCGCCATCCTCGCCGACGTGACGCCGGAACACATCACTTCTGTGCTAGCCACCAACCTCCAGGGCCCTCTCCTCATGTCCCAAGCCGTCCAGCCCCACCTGCCGCCGAAAGCCCGCATAGTCAATATCTCCTCCCTTGCCGCGCGCCAGACCTTTCGTGGGCTGACCGTATACGGCGCTAGCAAGGCCGGGCTCGAGGCCGTGACGCGCCATCTTGCCCACGAGCTCGGCGGCAACGGCACGACCGTCAACTGCGTCACGCCGGGGACCGTCGACAGCGAGCTTCTCTGGCAGACGGAGAAGCTGATCCCGGGCGTGGTCGACGGGATCTGCAAGAACACGCCGCTGGAGCACAGGGTCGGCACGCCGGAAGAGTTCGCGTCTGTTGTTGCTTGGATTTGCAGGCCCGAGGCGGGGTGGATCACTGGGCAGGTCATCAGTGCTACGGGTGGGCAGGCTCTCTACTGAACTGGCTGATCCACCTTGCTTGATGTTGGTCATGCGAGGAGAGGGGGTGGTGAAATTGCAAGATCCGTCATGTGAGAGACATGGATGCCAGCTTGAGTGAAGAATGGAGCAGGATTTCCTCCAATGGTGCGACTCTTTGTAGGGGGTTTGCACGTAGCTACTGTGTCAGGCCTTGATCCGCTGATCCTATCGCGGGGTACTTTTTCTGATCGGAGTACCTTCTCTTTGGGTTAATATGCTTCCTGGTGTAGTGAGCGGATCGAAGCACAAATGATTTATTCTTTGAACTGGTTGTGATCCGCTTGTATGTTTTACGTTCTCCCAAGTCCACCCTCAGTCGTGGGAAACGCAGAAAACCAGCACAAAAGAAAATGTGATTCTATTTTCGAGTAACACAGGTTATTGCAGACAAATCGATGAGGTTAGACAATATCCATTCAGTCATGACAACGTGGGCAGTTTCACGCTTCACATCCCACCGTTTCTGGCCACGGAGCTTTACCAGCCGTGACATCTCACCCGACGTCCCGCATAAATTGCACTGCAAACAGTGCGTGCAGCCTCTTATAAGCACCGCCTTGAACATAGTCGACTTCCATGCATGGCATTCAGCCGGCCCCGCCAAGTCTGGGGTACTGTCGCCTAAGCAAGCCCGTTGGTGGAGCGAGACATCTGCCGAGTCGCGTGGTCGCCGTTGAAGGATGCACTGCAACCACGGTCTGTGTGATATCGTGGTTGCTGCCAATATCGCGAGGCTTCTGGACGCTCTGACTGGCGCCAAAGTCCGCGCGATAGATTACCTGGAGTCAAGAAGTTGGTCAACAGGGAGAGGAGGTGCCCGGGCGCGCCGGTAGCACATCTTGGTCATCTTTGGTCATCGCGATGCCTCCTCGCTGTGCCGCAAACCCGGCTTGAGGTACAAATGCGAGAACTGTCCCATGTTTGCTGATGTCGTGATTTGACTCTGGGGGCAGACGTCAAGTCCTCATAAATAAGCTTTCTTGATTCGCAGATCACTGCTGAGCCTCAGCATGAAATCCTACGTCGTTGCAATTCTGGCTTCTTTTGCAAGCCAAGCCATTGCCCACTCTACCTTTCAGCAGCTTTGGGTGGATGGAGTTGATTATATATGTTTCACCTCATTCCTTGTCGCCTGATGACTGCTGACCATGGCCACGGCTCCCAGTGTGCGCGTCTCCCGCCTAACAATAGCCCGGTTGAGGATGTGACAAGCACCAACATTGTCTGTAATGTCGGCGGCACAAGCGGCAGGGGTGGCAAGTGTCCCGTCAAGGCCGGCGGGACTGTCACTGTCGAGATGCATGCGGTACGTATAACCCTCTCAACACAACCCTGCCTTTCGCCTTGGTCTGCCCAGATCCAGCCACTAACACAGGCCAGCAAAACGGCGATCGCAACTGCGCCAACGAAGCCATCGGCGGCAACCACTTCGGCCCCGTCATCGTCTACCTCTCCAAGGTCTCAGACGCCTCCACCGCCGACGGCTCCAGCGGCTGGTTCAAGATCCACGAGAACGGCTGGTCCGCCAAGTCCGGCGCCGCGAAGGCCGACGAGGACAACTGGGGCGTCAAGGACCTGAACGCCTGCTGCGGGCGCATGGACGTCAAGATCCCCGCCGACCTCGAGAACGGCGACTACCTGCTGCGCGCCGAGGTCGTCGCCCTGCACGTGGCGTCCCAGCCCAAGGGCGCCCAGTTCTACATGACCTGCTACCAGATCACCATTGCCGGCGGCACGGGCACCAACAAGCCCGCGACGGTCCGGTTCCCCGGCGCCTACGCGGCCACCGACCCCGGCATCCTGTTCAGCATCTACCAGCCCACGACGTCGTACAAGATCCCCGGCCCGGCCGTTGCCAGCGGTGGCAGGAGCATCGTTGCGGGCCAGGGGTGCAAGAGCGGGTGCGAAGTGACGTGTAAGCCGGGCTCCGGGACGACGGGAACAGCCGTGGCGCCGCCGGCGCCGACGGCGGGCGCCCCGCCTGCGGCATGCTCGGTGCAGCAGTTTGGACAGTGTGGTGGGCAGGACTACAAGGGGTGTACCGTCTGCGCGGTGAGTTTACCCATGGTCGTGGTGTGGCGCGGGTGCTACGAGACGGGTTGTAGAGGGCATGATGCTGACGTGTGATAGTCTCCGTACACGTGTAAGGCCGTGTCGCCGCCTTACTACTCGCAGTGCAGCTGATTGAGTTGGGCACAAGATGACCGAAGGTTCTCCACTCACCGCCAGTTTCGATTCATGTGAAAGCGCTGAGGCTTATCGAGGGAAGACAAGGCAAGCTGATGAGGGGAAAGAGTTTGACGCGGTCTTATCCTATGCAATTGACTCGCTACTAGTCTATCGTGTACACATGGCTGCGCATTGTTGTCCATCCTGTGTTCAAGCTTCGATCACAGTTTCGCCATTCCCTCCGTGACCATTGGTAGCCACTGTCGCGGCACTGCCGTTGGCTTGGACTTCTCCGTTGCTGGTCTTGGTCTCCTTCTCCGTCTTCACCTCCGCGAGTAGTCCCCTCGCATTCTGCAGGTCTTGACCCAGTGCCATGAGGTGCATAACGTCAGCCGTAAACGTCATGAAGCTCATCCGCTTGGCTGCCTCCTTGAACTTCTCCGGCGTTCCATAAGGTGCCACGGGTATGGCGAATCCAGCATATGGCTTGTCGTGCTTGTCGAGCACGGCGCGGAACTTCTCGACGGCGGTCGTCCATTCAGGCTCGCTGCCGCCGAGGCCGCTGTTTCCAGGAAGATTCATGCTGATGCGTGCGTCGAGGGTGCCGAGCCAGACGACGTCGATGTCGGGGCAGGCTGTGAGAATATCGTCGAGGTTGTTGATACCTGCATCGTCAGTCACCTGCTGGCGAGTAGACTAGTAGAACTAGATTTACCTTCCAGAGACTCAATTTGAATCATGATGGCAGCTTGGTTATTAAGCGCCTTGTGGATGTCACCCTGGCCGTCGTAGGCGTGGTCGGTGACGAAGGGGATGAGGCGGAACGGCGGCGCAGAACGCGAGCCGTTTTGCTTGGTACCGAACTTCGCGGCTGATATGACGTGCTTTGCCTGCTCGACAGTGTCGACCTGGGGGATGACAATACTAGCACCAGCATCCAGAGCGTAGCCAATGGCGGCATGGTCGTGTCCAGGAACGCGAACCCAGGGTATGGTGCGGCCCTGGCTCATGAAGATGGCCTCATGCACCATACTTGTCATGGTCTCAACATTGCAGGAGGAGTGCTCCCAGTCGATCCAGACGGCATCAAAGCCAAAGGGGGCGAGAAAGCGGGTGACGGGGAGAGAGGAGAGACCAGCGTAGTAACAGAGAAGGGGAGAAATCTTGCCGATGTGAGCGTCACGAATGGCATCTCGCGCGCGATGGGGTTGGAATAGCGAGGGCGCAGCGTATGCAAGCATTCCGTCGGCAGACATGTTGGACTGGATCTGATGTATGCGTTGACAGAGGCGGCGAAGTTTTGCAGTGAGTTGGGAGCGTCCTACGAGTAAATGAACAAATCGCAGCAGTAGTTGACGACTCGTCAATGCCAACCTTGGGCCCGGGAGGAGATCGGATCTGCTTTATACCCGCCCGGGTTACCATACAGTCACATTGCATCGGATTTGCTGCTAATCCCGACGAGCATCGGCGGCTTCGCGAGTTACGTGTGTGGCATGGCATTATGCGTTGCTGCCGATCCATGTCTCCGCGCTCACTTCCGCGTACTCAGTACGGGCGTCGTCAACGGTCCAGAGCATTCGAGGTAGTCATACCCAAAAAGGTAAGTCGTAACTGTATGAATGTTGGCGAAACGACAACACATTATAGGCCGAGGTCGTTGAATCCTCCAAAGGTGGATTACGAGGAGGGGGTTTCGCTAGCAAGCGGCTCACGTCAGCTCAATTCGTCTGCCATTCGGCCCAGGCGCCGGCCCTGCTTTCACAAAGGCTTGCGAATCGATATTAGATTGGGCTGACGGCCTCGCAGACTTATTTCATATGTGAGGATAGATCCTAGTGCGCCCGTCTCAGCCCCAGCAGCCCTATCAGTCATTCCGAATCCCCGTCGCGTGCGGTAACCTACCCGACCGCTGGCCATAGGCCACTCGACGAGTGGACAGACAATGTATGAATACCTGAATGCGCTTGAAGTGCTGAGGTGTTTGATCTCATGATGGCAAGTCGCTGACGTATGCAAGGCGGCGTCGCTGACATGACGAGGTTCTTTGCATTGTTGTTGCGGGGCCTGTTGCTGCGAGATGAGTAGGGATTCGTGGTCAATCTACTACGTCTGGCGGAGACGAAGCCCTGTTCTCGCATTGAGCAGATACGACAATTATTCCCGGTATCGACCTCGTGGAGCCGCAAAGGCCGGGCTATGGCGTTTTGGCGGCGTCCAACATTAATTCCGTTCGACCTGCAGAATCTCGCATGACTGAACGTGCTCGGGATGAAGCCCAGGCGCCGACATCGCATGCCAAGATGACGTAACGCACGTGCATGCCTGCTTACTTCTTGTTGAAGTGGTTCTGCCTGAATGATTGGGTCGAAGATTATGCAGGCCACTCATCACAGCACGGCGCTGCCCTCATGAGCTGAGTCACTGGCGGCGTCTCTGGGATGGACTGTGGCAATGTTGCTTGAGCCTGGACAGAGTCGTCATATCCTTGAGGTCAGACAGTCTCAGCCCTCCGGATGGAAGAGTAAGGCTTCAAGCAGCTGGGGCCATATCCGTTATCATCGCCGCAGTCAGAAGGTGAAGAAGAAACGATGCAGGGCGTTTGCACCGTCGGATGGCCGACCAACTGAAAGGGTGAAGATTGATTATTCAAAACGTGGTCCGATGACAAAACCTGTAGCTGACTAATGCGCAACGTATAACTTTGGTGCATTTGCTGTGCCTTTGATGAGAAGACGCTGATACAGCTCACCACGATGGATGGTCGATTCAGGCATGTGGTTTGTAGGTGTGAGAGGATGGAGGAGTGGAAAGGTCGGCGAGGTTCCTGCAACGACCCCAAAATGGAATTCTCGGACGTGGAACCAATTAGCGGCCGCTCATTGCCACACACAAGCCACCCGCTTGACACAATGAGGCACGTCTCCACGTGACTTAGCAGCATGTAAGTTCAGCTTACTTAAGCGCTCGCGACGCAAGGCAGGCACTCGTGGATCCGGGGTTCCCAACATGAGGCGATCTCATGCTTGTTACTCATCTCACGAGAAAACACCAAACCCACCGTCAACGTTTCTTTTGCCAGCCCATCCACGCTTCAGAGGACCTTTCGGCTTCAGCCACGCGATTGTACATCTAGCCCACATCAATCGGCGGCAATACGAACACGCCTCGGACTCCGGCTTTCCCCCGCCCCAACCCATCCCTGGGTCGACATTCAGATGAGCGCCTCTGCCGAAGTAGTCGCGCAGCCTGCTGTCGCCCCAACGACATCTGCGAAGAAAAAGTTCGCAACGCCCCCTGTCAAGATTGCGTGTCTGGCATGGTAAGCGCGCACCCGCTCCTCTCGCTGTCACGATGCACCGACCCGTGGACCCCTGACAGTTTGATGTCACCGACGTCTGAGGAGACAGACCCCCGCGAAGGATGATCCGCCTTGCCGAACCCCATCCACAGTGGGAATCGGTGATCGAATGGCCCAACACTGGCTGACATGACCAAGTCGCGCCTCTAGAACAAGATGCGATGGCGGCAAGCCTTGTGCGAGTGTACGTGGGAGTGCAGACTTGGCCTGAACTGAGGTCTTGAGACTCTCCTCTTGTGAGAACCTCTTCTGACAGTCCCGCAGTGCCAGACCCGATCCCGAGACTGTCAGTATCGACCCAGTCGACGCGGAGGCGCCCGCATCCGGAAAAAGCAGAAGACGTGCGACGAGCTTGCGCAGCAGGCCGCGCTCTTCTCACTGGAGCCGCCGCAAGAAGAGGTTCCCTCGCAGCGTAAGCATGCCGTCGCAACGCGGCCACGTGCTGTTGCTGACCACCCCCTGTCGCAGCCATTTTGATCCAAGACTACATCGACCCCGGTGCTGGGCTCAAGCAACTCCAAGATGTGTTCCCGGACAGCGACTTCATCTTCGACAGCCTCTTCATGGACATGCCAGAGGAGGCGAGCGGCGACAGCACGTCGGAAGCCTCTCTCGGTTTCGCCAGTCTCACCGTCCCCATGGTGAGGACGTACAGGAATGACCGCGACATGTAAGCTCCCCTCGTGTGTCTCTGCCGATCAGTTGGGCTCTAACACCCCGCGCCCAGTCTTGATGCGTACTACGTCTTCCTGCACCAGTACCTCCCTATTCTGCCGCCACCCACGGCTGTCCCCATCGACCAGCCCATCCCGTACTTTCAGAACGGCGCAGAAGCGTTCGAAACCGGGTTCGAGCCGTCAACGCCAATCACGCTGGCGATATGCGCCATCCTCGCCCTTATCCCTTGCGCCAACGACATCAATCCCACCTCGCACGATGCTGTCGTCTTCCGCCGCCAGTACGCACAGTACCTAGCGCAGTCCGCCATCGAGGCCATCGAGATGGAAGCCGAGATCCCCGAGTCATCCATCGAACCACCAAAAGCGCTAAACGGTTCACCGAACCACAACTGTCGCGCACCTTTCCACCCGGGGCTTCCAATGGAGTACGAGTGCATCGTCGCGTTGGATATCCTCAGCGTCTACGAGTATGCACAGCGGGGCAACCTCAAGAAGATGCAACGGCGGGCAGGACAGGCACTCGTGACCGCTATGGAGCTGTCTTTGCACAACTCGACCATCGAGGATGAGTTCACCGAAGCTCGACGCAGGATATGGTGGATGACAGTAGGTTTTGCCCCGCCATGACACCATCAAAGCCAGTACCAGTACTGACGAGGAGCAGTATGTCTGTGTCAGCCAAGGCGCCATTGTCAATAATTCGGTATGTCATGCCTTCGCCTGCCGGAGTATCAGAGCTCACACCGCGTAGGATCCCGCCTTTGCCGTCTTCGCGCATACCTTTACGACCAAATATCCCACGCTCAAGTGCGATCCTGATGTTCGTTGCCCCGCGATCCCGCAACGCGGCCACATCTGACGTGTCCAGGCCTTCCCCCTCATGATCCAATCGCAGCAGGCAATCCTAGCCGCGTCACAATTTGCCAATGACCTCAAGAAGTCGCTCGTTGCCAACGGGGACATGACACCGATAT